TTGACTGCTAACCAGAAGGCTGGTGGTTCAAACCCACCAGCCACTCCTCAGAAGGAAGATGGGGCAATCTACTTCTGTAGTGATACTGCCTCGGAAACTCGAGGGGTCACTCTGTGTTGGGTCCGACTCGACAGCACATAGTAACAACAACAATTGTCTAATATTAACCTATAATTAGATATGATTTTAGACTATTTTGTAACTATAATCCTTTTGCATTTCTCTGCCATTTTAAGATCGAATAATGAATGAAAAATACTAAAAATGGAGTCCTTTTTTCTTCCCTACTAATAAAATCTGACTGCCTTATGTCCACTAGAATTGTTCTCATTTATTTAAAATAAATGAGGTCTGCGGAAATAAATCTGTGAAAGAGGAAAGGCTAACAATTGCTTAATTAGTAATTTTTCTATCTCATTTGGGGTACGCAGGAGACTGGCTATGTGACTGTCAAATAGGACTAGTAGCAGTAGTGTCAGAATCTGTCTAACTTCATGGAGTATAATGTGAATTACCATCAGGACAAAGCTGATTCTCATAAGGTGGAGATTAGGCATACCTCCGCTCCAACCATTTTAATCAGTTTTGACATCAGCCATCCCTCCCATGGAATTTTTTATTTCTCTTTGTGGTTCAATAATCTATTGCAGTGGCCACAGAGAAGTCACAGACCATACTTAAGTGATCTATTAAGGAAATAACAGGGTGCAACTTGCGGTGAGGATCAAGAAGCATACAGACCGAGAGTTCCAGTAAGATGACGGAATAGAATGACTGCACAGACCCTCTTCAACAAAGAAAAGGGGAACCAATTAACACAGATACAGAAGATAAACCTGGACCCCTGAGCTTTGAAGGGAAGGATACAGAAGTTGACTAAACTCCAATTAGCAGAAGAATTTGCATGAAAACAGAAAAGGAGACATAGGGAGCTGTGGTCTGGTAGCAATCCTGACAGCACAGACAGCTTGGATATTGCCGAGTGGTGTTAGGACCTAAGAATTAACCTAAAAATCAGCCCTGCTAGCCAGAGGCTGCATGGAGGACTGCCCTGGTGGCTGGTAAATAAAAGGGGAAGCAGTGAAGAGGAAGGTATGCTGAGCTGTGGACTTCTGCCTGTCTGGAATGTGCAGCCATTTTGAATGTTTACAAGTGGTTTGACCATTTTGAATATTTAAAGCAACAGCATTCACCCAGATTCCAGGGACTTAACAGGCTCCACTTGCCAGGAACCCCAATGAAACTCTGGATGCCAAGGTGCGACATTCCCCTTATTATTCTTATATCCCACACCCTCTTGGTGACTGGAGGTGCGGTCATCCCTCACTCCCACCCACCTTTTAGGCCAGCAGGAATTCCATCCCAGTCTATGTGTTTGGACTGAGCCTGGGTGCCCTGCCCTGCCCCATTTTTTTTTTTCTTTTTTTTAGTTAGTTAATTTTTGTCTGTTTTAAAAGAACTATTATTATTATTACTTTTGTCCTTTTTATTATTATTTTTTTAATTCTTCCCCTCCCAGGTTCTAGTTTTCAGCTTTTTTTTTTTCTTTTCCCTGTTCCTGGTTCCATTTTTTTTTTTTCTTTGTTGTGGTTAACCCTGTTCTGTGTTTTTCTTTTTGTATTTTTCCTTCATTATCCTCCTTCTCTACCTTTCTTTCTCTTATTGCCCACACCCCAGGTTTTGTGGGAGTTTTTTCACCCTTTTTTCTTTTTTTGGTTACTGGTCCTGTGTCATTACATGGTGTGTTTTTTGTCCATTTGTTTTTACGTTTTTGATGGTGATCCAATAGTTATTTTTGTCTGAGTGGGAGACAGCAACAGTGCCATATGACACAACTATACATACACCTCCAGAGCTTAACTTACTGAGTGAGAGCCACCATTTTCTTCTCCACAAACAGCCTAATGATAACCATCCACCACGAACAGCCTGACTCACCATTAGCAGCTCTTCACAAACAGTTAACTGAGATCTAAATACAACAATGTCACAATGTCTCAGAGACAACAGAGTATCACAGTCCACACAAAGAAGATAAAGTGGTGGAAACAAGGGAGCAAGATACAGATCCAGAACATAACGCTGAGGAAGAAGCAGCATTGGACCTCCCTGATAAGGAATTCAAAAGAATTACATTTAAGTATCTTCAAAGGATTGAGAGACAGATCAAGGAAACACAGACAAAACCCTAGAATTTTGGAAGAAAATACAAGAACAAAATGAC